AACTAAAAGATTTACATTTGTTTTTTTCTAAAAATTCGTGGATTGAGTAGTAATTTTCTTTAATTAGCCATTGCTTTAATACATTACAAAATTTCTTATACGGAAGTTCAGTTATAGATTTAGGCAACGTATTATAAATTAGAGGAGCCATATAAACACAATTCCGTCTAAATAACTCCAATCTAGGCGAAGGCACTTGAAGAAGTACGCATGTTGCTTTTCTCTTATTTACATTATCTTTAACTTGAAAAAGCGAAGGATTGGTTCTTATGAATTTAGCAATTTCATAAATATAAATGGACGGGACAGTTAACAGCTTATTAGACTGAAATACAGGCCTACAGGATTCAGACCATTTCAAATTAAATATTGCACGAATGCATTTTTTCTGCGCTATAAACACTCTAGAAATATCCGTAGAATTTCCCCAAACAATTATTCCATAACGAATTATTGAACAAACATACGCATGATAAACAAGAATAGCCGTATACCTTGATGTAACGTCTTTAACCTTTCTTAAAGCAAAGATAAACTTATTAATCTTATTACAAATATTATCTATATGGATTTTCCATGTAAGGTGTTCATCAAGAATAACCCCTAGAAACCTTGCACTGTGAACCTGTTCAATCATTTTACCATCATATGCAATATTTAAATGTATGTGTTTACTTTTCCAAGTTTTAAATTTTAATACATTCGTTTTCGTTACATTTATTCTTAGTTTGTTAATGTCTAACCAATTAGTAATATCTTTAATTGACTCATTTATAATGGTATCATAGTTTTGTGGATTTTTGGTTTCTATGATTACTGTGGTGTCATCCGCAAATAGAACACACTGATGTTTAATTGCTTGTGGTAAATCATTTACATAAATTAAGAATAATAATGGTCCCAAAATACTCCCCTGCGGTACACCACATCGATTTATGAGTGGTTTAGAATCAAATATTTCTAATGTGTTACTTATCTCATTAAATTTTGTAATTCTGGTTATCTGTAATCTGTAATCTGTAATCTGTGTCTGGTGTTCTGTTTTAAAATGTCAATGTGCATGAATATAACTGCAGCTCACACGTTAATGTTGTTACGTACCTGTAGTAAAACTGGTTTCATATAATTATGTAAACAGATCGGAATCTTATTGGACAGGTCATTCACTCGATAAGAAAGCGAAATATGAATTAACTTGTTTACTTTAATTGTGTTTACTATTAAAATACAATCATCACTAAATTCATTCTGTGGTTCATAAAAAAATACTTAATGGAATATTATTCGATCGTCTTATTATTACATTAAGTTTGTAATTTGGGAAAGTAAACATGGTGTAATAACCTTCTATGGCGTTTAATTTATACAACGCGACGGGTCTTCAGGCGTCCACGCACACGATGAAGAGACAACCTAATAAATGTTGCAGGGAGCCGCTGGATGCAGTTCGCCCCCTGCTGGAAGCATCCTACCGCCGTCATTAGGGAGGCCTATTGTGTTCAACAGTGCCGCCGGAGACGTCTTAAGATGACAATGATGGTCATAAGTCTAGTTTCATCAACCCTTTTTAATTGCGTCTATTGGGATGGGCCATAGATATTATTAATGTTTCTGGCCGATCTGGCCATAAGCAGTAACGTTTTGCTGAATAAACTAAATAACCAGGTCACTGTCTTACCACTTAGACACAATGTCTTTATTTGTTTACAAGAAGAGTTAAACTGTGAGTATGGGGAAACCATACGCAGTGCACGTTGTGAGTAATGCAGGAAGCCTCACGATAGCACTTCTGACGTAGTTAGAGATACATCGTAGGTACTGGCTTACCTAAGGGAGGCAATGGCATTACAATTATGTAATTTTAGAGCCAGTAAAGGCTTAGTTACGTAAGGAATTATAGAAAATGTCTCGTACATTGTTGATGATAGAATCATATAAACATTCTTACATATTCACAAAAGAACTTGAATGTTTTTATTATACCGATGTGTTTATTAGTACCTACTTTATGCAATTTTCTAAATGAAATTATGTCACTAAGCAATGATGACATATTATTGTTTTGTTAAACAATGCATTTATTATTATCAACTGTAAATAAAACTTGTAGTTTGGATGAGATCAGAATATTATAGGACATTGTAATATTCAATGCCATCTAGTGGTGGAAAGCAAAACTATATATTGAAACTGCTTGGCGCTAGATGGCAATACTATACATAGGAAAACTACTGACTACACCTAATCATTATGTTAGTGGTCTACAGTCTACACGATCAACTTTGTGTTGTTTCAATAAACTGAATTTAAACTTTACTTTCATTCTTATTGCTGTCAGTCCTCATCCTCAGTACCAAATGAACTTCATTAAGTACGATGAATTTAAGATTTGTTTTACCCCACACTTTTCAATAAATAAAACACGATATTTTAGTAGTTACTTATTTTTAATAGTTTGCAGAATCCAGTTGTAGTGTCCAGCGACTGGGTAGGACACGAACACGTGCTCGTCCGTCTGCACCACCGACAACATCTTCACTTTACCATTGTGCACTATTAGTACGGGTCCGCCAGAACTAAGCTGCAAATACATTATGTACTTTATTAAAAACAGTACAGAAACAGTACTACTTTTTTTAATTTTCTAGGGGGATCACTCCGGGAATTTCGCTTTTTAACCCATGGCAATCGGATTTTCGTACGACCACTTGACCCAGTTAGTACCTGCATAATATTATTGTCCATGTCATGGCTGAAGAGACAGAGTACGTCGTTGTCCTTATAGCTGTACATGGCCTGGCAATCCGCGGTGCGCAGGATCTGGCTCGCGGTGGACGAGCGGTACAGCGCGTCACGGTCTGACTCGTTCTGCAATATCAAGTTACCCATTTTAACTGTTTTTTCATAATAACCATCAGTGTATTGTATAAATCTAATATTAGACGCGGTGGTGGCTCATGGAGTAAGAATAAGGCCTGAATGCTGAGAAGTTTAGCAGAAATGTTCAGTTCTGATGATCTGAATTTGGCCCATGACCCCCAGTAAGTATGTACGGTCAAAAGTCCACTGCCACCGTAAGACTAAGACTAAGACGAAAGACATGACGAGCACGATGTACAGATGAGCCCGACGTCTTCCACCATTGTCTTACCTTTGACAAAATCCAACCGTACACCATAACCTCTCCACTCGTAATTTCGTCTGCCATCAGCTCCATGGTTGAAACTTCCACCGCAGGTTCGATCCTCATCAACGCCAAATACGGGCCCATTTCTCCACTCGTGACATCAGACTGCGATGAATTGGATTCAGGATGCACCAGCACCGTCGTCACATTGTGCGCTGACCCATCCAGGAGAGGGTTTGAGGATCCTGCCACTACTGTGTAGTAGTGACTTTTCTCCGTCGTATTGGTGCTAGAAATGGTTACACATATAAACTCTTAATTAAAAAAAAACCACAAATATATAACTACAGTTAAGTTCTGTACTGTAAGCAAAATACTGCTACTTACTTGTTAGCGTAAACATTGGTCAATATGTTGATGCAGTTCGCCGCAGTGAGCACCCACCGCGGTGTGATCAAAGTGCCCGCACAAGTCTGCGCGGTAACGTTACCCAGCGTTTCAAATATGGCGACCAAAAATGGCTCACTCGTTGGAAACACAACTTTTGTCTCATTTTTAATTTCTTGCGCAACCGTTGTCGTGTTTTGATGTTCTTTGTTACCGAAACTTCTTCTATACAACTTAAATTCGTTCTCGGATAAATTAGTTGTGTTGTCGTACATCGAGGTGTCCTTGCCATGATCTGGATCATGTAGAGAATTGTCGAAGAACGTGTTAAATATTTCTGGAGACTGATCTTTTATCTGTTCGCTGAGCTGGGTGTCATCAGTGTTGAATGAAGGCACGATGACTAGGTCGAGGTCATGGCTGACGGCGTTCAGCACCAGCTCGGTAGTGTGTGGGTCACACTTCTGAATCACTGGTGTTTCGTTACTGTGAGCGAACTTAGCGTTCAATACTAGAGTGTCGTTGAGGGCGCTCTTGAATCCTAAAGGACATTTAAAATATATATAATAAAATTATGGTTATCACGACTGATCTTATAGTTTCTACTGCATACAGAATTTTCACAAGAAAACGGACCAACCTATTACGTAAAAACTGTGAACAGTACAGGTAGGTAATTAAGTATACCAAAACATTACGATTACTTTTCTAGTATTAGTAAACAGACTGGTCTCTGTGCTGGCCATGCTAGAGAGCGAAGTAACTATTCGAAGTAGGTTTGAGTTGCGCTCGTCTTTGTATTCGCGTGTAGGTACTGTTTTAGCAGGACTCAATATTTATTTTCCGAATGATGTTGTTTAGGATCAATGCTTTATACATCTAAGCTCAAGTAAACGTAATGTTTACAATTTAATGATATGATAAAGTTTATTTGTTTTAAATAAAACTTCATTAAATAATTTTTCCTGACTTGATATCTCACAAACAATCTTAATGCAGTTTAAAACAATACTTATATGTATCATTAGTTTATTAAAAAAAAGAAATTCATCAAAATAAAACAATTAGGTACTTACCTACTATATTTTCCAATAGAAATACAAAAACCACTACACTGGACATGTTGATGTAAAGAATAGTTTTTTGTTCAATATTATATTATTTTACACAATTAGTATCAAGCACGTATGATATTAAAAATATTTTGTAATATTTGACATAGCGAAGTAATAATTATCATAAAATTTCACTATAGGTAAGTATTTTATTGTACGAACTTAATATAAATTTTCGGGAGTCAACAATAAAGGGCCTGCAAGGAACAATGTTACTTCGTAACTGAGACGTTTGCACACAGAAAGTTATGTTTTGTCAACAATAGTTATCGCGGTTTGATGAAACATTATGCAAAGGACTGCCATTGATTTTTTCCATTTGCAGTATGGTGTTAGTTACTCGAATGAAAGGAAAATAAAACCAGAGTGTATCAATAATTAAAAATATTTCTCTTTATTTATTTATCATTTGTTCTGTCGGTACATTCACAACCTTGACATACAAGCATTTACAAAGATCACAAACATTGCTCTATTGTAAGTTTAGCCTGCATGCGAGATACATACATAGTTACATTTATATTGATACATACTTCAATGCTTATAAAATCGAACAAACTTGCTATATATGCTTTATTACTGGAATATACTGAGATCAAATGGAATATGTGAGTAAATAAAGCTGTAGTATAGATACCAAATGAAGCTATGAATATTGAACATGACTTTGGAGCTCACTAGCGCCATCTAAGTAACGCAAAAAATTCTTTTGTACAGTGCAATTTAATAATAAAGCCTAGTTACATAAGGGGCTAAAAGATTGCATGCAGGCTAATTAAATAGTTTGTTTTTTTGGCACCAAACAATCGCATGTCCAGTAATAAACATAATAATGCATAGAACAAAATGGTATGTACAAGTATCATTAAATACAATGTATAAAATTTGATCAATCAAGTATTTACATTTTAATATTACACATATTAGAGAACATTCTATTAGAAATTCTATAAGATTTAGTAATAAGATTAGTAATCAAAGGATAATGGAAAATTGTTCGATATACACCATAACATGAATTTCATGTTTCATTTTTGCAAAAAATATATTTCTTATATTCTCGAGTGTGTGACATTTACAGGAGAATTATTATATTAACTGTTTCTTTTCTGTGCTTTCTGGCTGTAAGCATTAAGTTGGCATTATATTTGAAGGTAAGATGTTTAAGGCTTATAGACCAGGGTCTGTATAAAATGTCCATCATCCTTTTTGGTAGTTTTAATTTTTTTTAAGTACAAAATAGTTTCACAGATTAGTTTCAAGTTAAATCATTGAAAACATCCAGACAGCTAGCACTTTTTAGTAATGTTAAATAGTTTTTAGAAATGGGTAGATGGCGACACCATCGCTTTTTATCCGTCATCTCTTCTTATTTTAATACTTAACCAAAATTGTAGTAATGGATTGCATTGATTTGTTTGAATTAAAAAAAAAAAACCGAAAAATTTTAAAAGCTTGGTCAGACTTACTTAGACAACAACAAAATAATACAAAATTGTACTAAACAAGTGAGATGTAACTTTATACTATTATTTTTAAGAATTCTTAATATATGTTCAGTGATATAGTAGCTAAAATACTTTGAAATACATTTGTTACATGAATATTGTTCTTAGTTGTATTAGACTAGATAATTCACTGTGACTTCAGCCAGTCTCTCTGCAATAATAAATGAGATCTTCTTTACCTGTAATAAAATTATACACTCAATAAATTGTTGTGGTATACTCTGTTTAACATGCAACTGCGGTTCTAATATCTTTAGTTTATTTTGAGTTTTAATACCGGTCCTGTGTTGCAAAGAAAACAAAACTAGACGCATTTTTTAAATCTTAATTATTGGTATTGGGTAGTTGATAGGCTATGAATATTAACCGTTTGAATATACGAGACACAATATAGGTAAAATATATGGTGTCTCGCGTGGATCCACGTTTAGACAAACGACGGGTTAAAAATCTAACTAGCCCGTCAGTTAGATAATGAAAAAAAAATGAGACTCATATTTTTTATTTTGGCATACAAGAAAACAATACTTATATAAAAGGTATTTGAGTTTAGAGTGAGAGCTTGTTACGTCACACGTTCGTATCATCATCATCATATCAGCCCCAGGACGTCCACTGCTGAACCTAACACGTTCGTATAAGAACTCGTCGCAACTCGTGACGTCGCGCGATATTATTCAAATCCATATATCATCGAAAATATTTCATTTTTAAGAAAAGAAATATTACGTGTCTAATGTTTTAACATAATCTGCCAAACGGACATTATAAAAAATATTAGGAAGATCACATAGATTTTTTAAGGGGGGAAATCGTCGAATGTCTTGTCCCGCCTGGGCGAGGCGGGAGAAATTAATATATCACATAAATAGGCCTCTAAAATTGCATAGATAGGCTTCTAAAAGGATAATCAACAAAGTCTAACCTTAGTAACTCCAATGATCATCCTTGATGTTCTGCCCGGTGTTCTCGGGGATGTATCCCATGATGTAGGGCAGGCCTGTGCCGACCTGCTTCTGATACTCCACGTACTGCGGCCCGAAGAACGTCAGAAGCGTCAGCTCCTCAGCGTACACGCGCTCGCGGAAGAACGTCCACGATGCTAGCGTATAGATTATTACGCAGATTGGATTTAGTAAAGTTACCTGGAAAAGTAATGAACTGCTTGTAAAAATACGTCCACACGAGATCCATCAAGCTGCATGCGGTTGTAAGGGGTTTGGGTTCAATAACCAGGTCGATAGACGATAGTGTGTTATTGGGTGTGTCTCTTTTCAGAAATGACACGCGAACTTTAATTGACCTCACTAATCTCTTAACTGGCGAAAAAAGCGGGCAAAGGGAAGAAATGTATATAATTGATTAAATGTACAATGTACACCAGTTGTACTTCCTTCAAAGGATTTTTAAAGGACGACATGTATTACTTTTTTCACTTAATCTAAAATGATGTTATAAAGACCAAACTATGTACATTGCTTAAGAAATCTTACCTGTGTACCAATGGACCAGTAGAACCAGCCCACATAGCTTGGATGTCTGCACAGTGAGTACACTCCATGGGTCACTAGTTGATGGTCTGGACGCTTTACAAATTGTACCTGCAATTTAAATATCGTGTTATTTATGGTTTATTCTCAAAATAGAATTGAGAGTGGTGGACTATTTTATGTTTAACCCACGTCAGCGACTCTTAATCATGAGATTTTGTGTAATGTTTTTACAATAACTATCGTGAGACATGCTGAATCTTTACTAATATTATAAATCGGAAAGTGAGTTTATTTGTTTGTTTGTTTGTTCCGCTTTCACGCCATAACTACTAAACCGATTGCTTTGAATTTTTGAAGATGTATAGTTAGAAGTCCGGATTAAATAATACTAAGGGTACTTTTTATCCTGGAAACATTTGATATTCCCGAGGGAAAGTAAACTATACCAATACAAAAGTATTGGTGTGTGTATTGATATATGTCACATTGGCTTTTTATCCTTTTGTGACGCGAGCGAAGCCGCGGGTAAAAGCTAGTTAACTAATAATCTACTCACATAAATATGCTGAGAAAAGCTCCAGTAGTTTCCGAGTCACAGAGGGACTCTTCTCTATGAGAAGCGTGGGTGGTCGCGGCGATTTCGCGCAGCCTACAGCGTGTAGGCTGTCGAGATCGCCGCTAGAGCTTTTCTCAGTACCTATGTAACCTTTAATTTTTAGTTAATTTTGTGCAAGTTTACAGAATAGAGGTTTTACTTACAGTGTGATTAAAATTAGTCTTGGCAGTGAACATGGCTGACTTCCTGAGTCCCTCCCCTGTGATGCACATTACTACACCCAGCGCAGACAGCCAGAAGTAACTCTTCATATCTACAACAAATGTAATATTCATTTGTGAAAGTCTTTGAAGTCTGTGTTGAAGTGTATAATTAAATGTTTTGTTTTTATTTGATTGTGATGTAGGTACATTTTTGATTGTCATCTACTATTAATCATAACTGCCTGATTTTCTGTTTTTTTAATTGAATTTTAATTGTATTTTTTTTATTGTGATGTTTATTTATGTGTTCTTTTTCTGTTATTGTAACTGTTTGATTCTCTTTGTATGGGTGTTAATGTAATTGGTGTAAAGCCGTGTTAACATAACAATAATAAATAAATAAATAAATAGACAGACTAAAGAAATAATTTATTGTATTATAGGGGACAAAAGGGGTGGTATTATGTTATTTAATCTTCATGCTCATAAATAAACTTTGTTTACCTGGCACACTACAATGTGTTTTTTATTAGATAATCCATCACAAGGTAATATTGATCTTTACACATTTTTCATTCGTTAATTAGTAAGCGGCTTTTATCCACATATGTCAACCCAATGGTAATCTTTATACATTAGCTGGCATATTTTTATGTGTGCCAAACAATATTGTTTTATTTACTGGTCAACCTCATTGTCTTAGTATCTTATAACTAGTCTAAACCTTAGAGTCTAACTAGATCGCAGAGAACCTAACGGGTAACCAGGGCTCCGGCTCGATGTGGAGGAGAAAGAACAGGGTGGTTTTTAGTCAGTAAGAGTCTGACACTTCCTCCCGCCTCACCCAGGCGGCAGCAGTCATTCGATGATTTTACCCCTTAAAAAAAAAAGTAACTACCTAGATATATGTAATAAAATTGACTAACTTACCAGGAAAGAAGTAGTACTCCACTCCCCATTCTATCCAGCTGGCTACTGCAGCAGCACCGTACTGTACACTATGGTTCAATATAAAAGAGTTCACCGATAAAGTCCTCGGATTGGTCAGAGCCACGGATACAAACTCGGAGAAGTGGAAGAAGGACAGGATAATGGTATACAGCCCAAACACTCGCCAGCCATTGTCAAAGCTAGTCAGGAAGATGCCCAGGGAGAATGTGGCACCAAGGAATGCTGATCTAATTGATACCTAAAAATTGAAAAAAATATCTATACTTATCAAAAACATTAATTTTGTTTACATTGAATATTATTAGCATCGCTCTCTTAAATCCTGAAACGTTGTTTGGTTTCAAATAAAATGATGATTTCAAATCAAATGAGTCATGCTGACCTACAAGCTAATTCAATAAAGGTTTCTTGATAAAATGTTTTGCTAAAATGGCTATCTAATTTTCTAACCAAAGGGCTTCTTAGAGATTAAGAAAATAATACTACACCCCGCGGCGAATAAGTTAAGGTAATTTAATGTTTCTTACCTCATACATGAAGCCTTTATAGCAGTATCTTAATATGAAGTTAAATAGACAGAAATACAGCGCCGGACCCCAATAAGTCAAGGCCCACAGTTCCGAGGAGAACCCTAGAACACTCCCAGAGAAAAACGACGTCGTAAATACTATAGTAGAAATAAAAAAACAAATTAACGCCTGCTTTCCGGCGGGACAAATGTTCCTCATTAATAAGACATCCATTTTGATAGGTTTATGCTAAAAGTTTACGTGGAAGTCTTGTCGCACACTTGCTTTTGTTATGTTTGATGTGTCCACCACTTTTTCTTTGAAGTTATCATTGAAGATTTGTAAATAATCCGAAAATTACATGAGTAATCAATGTACCAGTATCAGTAATTATCTTGTGATGTCATGTCGCTGTCACTGTCAAATGTGATTTTGATTAATCTGTCAACTTCATCGTTCAGTAAGCACGAGAGCAAGGACGCACGAAAGTTTTTTTTAAGCACGAATCTGGATTTGTAAAATAAAAATAGTTTTATTGCAGTTATCTATGAAATTACTTAATCCAGGATATTCCCAAAAAAAATACATTTAATATTTGGACTATTGTGTTTTCTTCACCATTTCATTAAAATGTAACCATGGCAACACGAAGTTTGTTTGACAACTGTTAAATAGGCTGTTTTTAATTTGATGAAAAAATATTGTTTTGAAATTACTTCGCTGCCATTGGTTAGAAACGTATATTATTCAAAGAAAGCGTTTGTTATTGGTTCAATATAAACATATTTTGTGGCTATGCAGCTATACCGAAATTGAGAAAAGTTTTCACTATTTTCAAATTCATACTATTCGAGTACCGATTATTCTGCCAATATTTACAAATAAAGTCGAAAATCACATATTAGTTTAAATAGATTCATATTTCTGCGTTAACAACATACCTTAGTATAAATTGCAGTAAATGTTCTTCACCAGACTGGTTAAAATACCTATTACCTGACGTAATCGTGCATGACAACATCTGGTACATTACGATGCGATTCCGTCGGCGTTTAATGAAATTAAATTTCCCCCGTCATACGGTTCAAAATTTGTGATTTATTACATTAGATAGACTGAAAAAGTGCCGTGCAACTTCCTACGAGATGTTAGTGATTGGATATTGATGAGTTATCAGCTTTTTGGGGTACATCAGGAGTCCAGGGGCCGCTGGTCGTAGTCCAGTAAATTAAGGATGAACGACCCGTGGGACGTGAAGTGCGTGCGACAGGCCGGCCAGTACGTGTCCTGCATGAAACTGAACGGGGTGCCGCTCCTTCCGCCCGTGGTAAGTAAATTAATTAATTTATTATATTCCAGGTCATGGTCTCTGTATTCTAGCTGGCTAATTGCTCGCTTATCAGCCTAATGTAATACAGGAGTCTGAACATTTGGCGTGGAGGACAATCCCTGACCAATAATTTAATTTAAATAAAATCTCTTTATATATGTTGAGTGATTTGTAATTGATCTATGTATATTTGAATACCAAGCGGCATACACTTAAAACATTTAGCCATATCGTCCGGTGTGAGGAAAATTTTACAGGAAAAGACAGAATATTCTAGAGTAAATAGCTTTATTACTACAGACAATTCATACTGGACACAGCGTATCTGTCACAAATAAATAAAAAAAATTACATTTTACCTATTTCTAATGATAATGTATCATTACTAAGGTTGCCCTACAATTTGTGGATCACATAGTGAAATATTTACATACCATTTAGGTATACTTTGACACAATTTGAAACAATTTTAGACAAAAGTATCCTTATTTATTAGTACCTGTTAGTGCTCTCTATCTGTGAAGTACTCCTGTAAAATAATAAATTTCTTCAAAGCTACATTCTAATTTACTTAATTTAATAAAATTATTTCAACACCATAAAAGACAATTAGCCAAATTACATTATTTTTTTCATTTATTTGCAGAATTTCAAGCATTTTAAGTAGCATGTGCAGATTTTCATCTGTTAAGCAAGACCTTGTTCGAATTATATGGGAAATATCTCTAAAAATGAAAAAAATATTGTTTATTTTGAAGGTGACAAAAGCAATCTTTCTTTTTATCAAAACATTTGTATGTTTCACCTTATCTCTTGTTTTTGTATTTCAGTTATCAAAGGAATGCCGCAAAGAAATGCAGTACTACAAGCTCCTTGCCAAAGAAGTGGAAAAGCGTATATCAATACTTCAGCCTTACGTAATTGATACAGACTCTGAGTCTGAAGATAAGACTGATGCTCCTGAACTACCTGAATGTGAACAAAGCTTTGAACTACCCCAAGAAGAAGTAAAAGCTGGATTCAATGTTAGCATAGAGAAAATTAATGCAATCACTTCAGCTAAAAATATAGACAAACTTTTATCACCAATACCTTGTAACAATGTGACCAAGATAGGTGGGGCTTCAATAGAAACATCAAGTTCCAATTCCCCCAAACTCATTATAGATCTCAATTTCAATATCAATGAAAATGGGAATAATGTTCTTGAGGCTGTGAAAGATCCACCACACTCACCTCCCCTAATAGATCTCCCCGAAAGAGACTATAACTGCACAAGAAGAATTACTCAGAAAGTCATTACAGAACAAGAAGTAATTACTGAGGTAGGAACTCAAAGAAACAATAAACAACAAAAGTCTATGGTTGAGGAGGTGGCTAAGTTCAACTTTAATTTAAATAAAGAAGCTTTAATTGATCCTTTTAGTGATTTGACAATATCTCAAGATGGCCCATCGTCTCTCAGTTCCAAAAGTTTTACAGGATCCTTAAATGATTTGCATAGGGAAAGCATTAAGGACCCGTCTCCGAAATTAGTCCGCCAACATTCTTACACTCTTTTACATCCAAGTCCTCAGCTCTTAGCCCATCTAGAGGTGCAATCGATGAATACAGGTATTGAGATGACCTCTATATCAATGAGCGAATCTGTTTCCAACTTAAACTCTCCAAACAAGAAGCGTAGGAGTTGGGACCTGGAGTCAGCTAAAGTGAAATGGTCGTCGATGGCGCTGGAACTGAAGAAGACTAATGTCGTACATAATCTTAATAGAAATGCATCTAACAAAACCATCGTAAAACAGACCATTAAAAAATCTCCTCAGCGCTCACCACCGTCACGGGCAAAGACGGTTAGTCCAGAAAAAAGACGTCCCTCTAAAGCAATGAAATGTAATAATACACCCAAGTCAGATAATCTGCCCAAGCCTTTGTTGAAATCCAGCAGTCCCGTTAGAAATAGTGCGACTTTTGTGAAAGAACCAGGTTCACCTAAATTAAATGCAATCCTAGACTTCGATAAGACACAATCCCAAGCATCCACACCTCCTTCACTAGAAGAATCCGATGACCCGGCGGTTCGTGTTAGGGAACTCTACGAAAAGATACAAAATCAACAATTATTACAAATGGCGAATTTAGTGGAAAAGCAGAAAAAAGAACAGTTACTGCTTCAGCAAGTCTTTGAAGAACAGAATAAATTACTTTTCAAACAACTGAAGACCATAGTCCCGAAGTCTCCTATAGAGGCAAAAGAGGCTTGGAGCGACAAACATGTCCAAGGTGACAGAGGCCCGGTCAGTCTGAGTCAGCTCATCAATTACAAGTCACCTGAACCTAGTCTTAGTAGTCCTGTTACTTCCACGTTAACAGAAACTAACCATTACATAAACCATTGCGACAATGTGCTGAAGAAAAGCAGAGATATTACGGGAAGTATCAAGAAGCAACCGATCAAATCACGTAGCCAGAATGGCAGCAAGATTATGTCTCCGAAACCACAACCAGACAGTAGAAATCGAACTAGCTCCCCGACTCAGAGACATACCCCTACATCCCGTAAATTGAACTATGACACGAGTGTGTCATCGGACCGAGACTATGAGCCGATGTTAACCGACCGAACGAACGACACGATGGCAGACTTGAACGTTACCTTTCCTTCCGATAACGATGACTTTACTTACCACGGCACAAATTTTTTGAACCAAGTTAAAGTTAGCCATGGACCTTCACTGACTTCTACAGCAAATTCAAACAGAGCCACCGATAATGCCATCCGTAACATGGAGAGAACCATATACAACTCAATGAACAGCAGCAACAAGCGTATGTCGAAGGATAAATTTGACATCCAGGGAACACCAGAACAGGTAAAATATGTTAAATACAAAACGAAAAAATAAGTACTTACCTATATAGAGCAAAAAGTAATTTTTAGTTTTGTACCAAATACATATTTTATTTACTTAATTAATTTATGAGTTTGCACATTTGTGGAGTTTAATTCATTCTGTTGCATTCGTGAAGCCTTCATTGTGTGTTACCTATGGATGGATTATTATGTTTTGTTATGGACATCATTTCAATTTACTTTCTATGATTTTGCGTGTTCTAGTTTTCGGATCATTTCCTCCAACTTTTATTTCCTGCTTTATCTATCTAAATCTTACCTTGACTTTGTTGCTAACCGGCATCTCCAGAAATATATGTCTTTATCGACATGGGTTTGTGCACTATTTGCAATACAATTTTATGTACTGTCTGGATCAGCATGCAGCTGCAACCAAAATAGTGGCCGTAGCCAAGGGTTACCTGGTCCGTCGCCTGATGCGCACGGACCGAGTACAGTCGACCGTGCAGACCATCAAGGATGCTCTGCTGTGCGCCTTGCAGCTGCATCAGGACCGCGAGGGTATCCGGGGCGCTGACGTAGACCTCCACCGCCGACTTATTCAGCAGGTAGGTGCTTGATGGGGCGTGTGACTGTCCAGGGTGCACTGGTTTTGGATTTTAAGAGTTATTCTGTCATTTAAACTCATTAGTAGTATCAGAGTTCACAATATAGTTTTATACAATTTAGTACTTAAATTAAATTATGTACTTACTATAGTTAGATAACTTAGGTATACGATCTGAGCTTAATTAAATAGTATTTATAATCTAGAATCATGTTTTTGAACCAACACTAGACTTCATCTTAGAAGCACGAAACATGTTTGCAGATAACAGCGGCATGCTACTCCTTGCACGATACCTTCGTGGCCAGTACTGCCTCTGAGCGTTGCGCAATGATCGCTGCAGACAGAGGGCGCCGGCGTTCTCTCGCCGCTCGGCAAGCTAGCACTTCATTCAAACAAACGTGAGTCAAATATTTAGTAAAATTAACCATGTCTAAAACCTCAAAATGGTGTCTTTCTGTGAAAAACTTTGGCGCTAGTATGTAAGTAAAGGTTTTTGAGAAAGGTTCTGCATTCGTTTTTGGAATAGGTACGACAGATTAAATGACTGATTAAAAATAATTTATCAAAGTTACGGATCTTTGGTGACGGTGAGCCTAACAACAATTAAACGTCTTCAATCTCATTCTGTTATCATTTCTAACGAATTCATATTGGCTTTTCTATTCGAACCATAATGTTTAATTCAAAAGCTCCACCACAATGCTCTATAACAGAAACTATACTAAAACAGGGACGTAATGTCACAAAGCCACTCCGGGGTGTTTCCCGCGCGCACCAAACGACCAACCGCAGTGTCGCCGATGACGCAGTCTAACTATGGTAACACTGAACTATATAATGTTGCCAGCTTTCTTTTTGTTTCGCCTTGTGGCATGCAAACTGTTTGGTTTTAGGAATCACACCTATCACTATCTTATTTGTTAAAAAATATTTCCATTTACTCATAAGGCATGAGCTTATTGACACTATCTTTTACTATTTTTTTTTGCATATTTGCATTGCCAATGTGTCAGTGTGTTTGTTGAAGCAATCTTTAATAATGTTTGTCTTTGAATCTAATTGATTTGATTTACATAGGTGCTAGTACCACTATAATGACTGAAATTTAATTTTAACACTGCACGTAAATTTTAATTATAATGCTTATTGCAGTACAGGAAAATATTCGAGAACATAATATCTGAAGTTAGTAATACCTAATAGAATCTATCATGATTGTAATTTATATCGGCGTACTATTTACCGTTCGTTTCGTGTTGCTTTCGATCTCATAGGTAAGTCATGCAGAGGCGGATTTAACATCGAGAACACCTGAAGAGCAGCTAGATGATGTCTCATTCTTAGACAATCTGTACGTCTAGACCTAGTTTACACTAGGGGTAATTCGCAACAGAGTCCACTAACAGCCGAAATTAATAACTAATCATTATCCAAAATTTCGGTGAAATCTGTTTTTGACAACTAATGTCAAAATACTGTCTTACTTGATTTAGATTGTGATCGATTATTAATACGGTATTTTACAACTAATCAAATTCAATACTTTTATCGAAACGTCAAAAACAATATTGTTCTATGAATTTTAAACGAAAAACTAACTTATGACGTCATCATATTTTCGAATCAAATAGCACACTTATTTCTGAAAAAAATGTTAGAATAAATCTAAAATTAAGTATATCGTCAAATATATGAATTAAATTGTAAATATATTTCAATGTGTAATTGGATTGAAAAGTCATAATAATTTATTTTTGACCCACGAAAATACCCAATTTCAGCCGTAAAGGGTGATTATAGCAATATTGTGTATGTTATCGCAGAGACTTTTAGCGAGGAGAAGCGGTCCGGAGTGTCGGTGTCCCGGCACATGGCCAGCCCACACCGGCGCCCCTGGCGCTGACCCTCGCCCACGCCGCCGCCCAGCTGCCTGCCGCGCTTCTTTGCTCACTGCTGGGCGCAGCGCCGCGGCGTCAACCTATAAACTTTGAAAACAAAATTATCTGCAGCTTCGCCCTAAAGAGCGGTTTTGTAAATTAGTTTTTTTTATCTTTTTTTTATGTATTTATTGTATTTTAGACGCCATTTTCTGGTGAATTGAGTAAAATAAAATTTTATATTCATTGTATTTTTTGTAAACTATAACTAACTTTTAGCCACAAAAAATATAATTTCGTATTTATTATGGCATGAGCAGAAATAGAAATATGCCGAAATTATTTATTATGCTTGTGCTTGGAAATATTGAAATAAAAATTAAGTACATGTATTTAATTTCGATAAAAAAGTCGAGCTTCTCCTGTACTCCGCCTATGCGCTCTCTTTTATACACTACGACTAATTAAGCGAACTAAAGTGCATTTAAAATTGTATTTCAATTATAAATTAAAATTAAGGAAATGTTGGATCCTTCACATAGGATCCTATGAGAAACATTCTCATTAATTTTGAACAAATATAACTAGGTCAAATGTAATTTGTAACAAAATTATTTATTATTAGCTATTAAGTGATAAATTATGGTTGTAACTGTTCGGTTTTTGCTTCCAAAGAAAAGTGCCTGTTCACGCATCTATGTAAACTAAAAATAATAATTTCATTATTCAATATTTGTATATTTGTATAAGTCCAGAATGACATTGTAGGACATATGTTTTGTATATAAAAACAGATCTTGTATCATCTTATATCTCACACTATATGAATACAGCTGATCACCACTACCATTACAAGTAATAGATTGTCAACTTTCAAAATATACAAGTCGTTTTCAGTGAAATATGTAGGTACATTAATGATATTAATATTTAATTCACCGTCTCTAAAGCGGCACCGTCTCTAAACCATAGAGATGGATGAATCTGTTAAAATTACTTTCCTTTTATTAAATTTATGGTAAGAAAAGTAATTTATGTGAGAATTAAAAAAAAATGTAAGAGGCCTTTTGAATGTCGTGGCGATAAATCCAAAAAATATCATAAGTTTTATAATATCTTTAGATCTATGAACTTACACTTGGTGTAATATAAATGCTAGTTTTATGTAATCGACACGCTTTACATTGTTTACATTAGCCGTACACGAATTAAAATCGCCATAGCATCAGATTGTAATGATATATTTGTAGTACTCACATTAACTTTGAAATAAATTAATATTTGCACTGTATGTCATGGCTAATGTAAATAGGTACACTTTACGATATAAAAGAAATTTAAATTTAAGTCGCCTTAATATTTAGATAGGTTTTACATAGAACTTGTGAATACTATCCTATCAACAATGTCTTACATATAACTATATTCATAATTCCGTTTTATATTATGTTACAAAGATCCATAACACTACATAATGCCAAATTATTACTTGTAAAAGTGCTTCCAAATGAAATAACTTTTTCAGTGATTTTGTAGACATTTACTTAAATATCATGTTTAGACAAAAAAACCTAGATCTGTTGTCATCTTTGTACCATTATATAAATGTTTTTATCTTTATTTGAATAAAATATCTGCACTATACCGCTAAGGAATTGTTTCGCTGTTTCCCAACTGTTGATATATTACATACTAGTTATAACATTACCAGATATTCTACTGTACCTTTGATTCAGGTGGTATGTCAGTGCTAACTCGACACTCTCTAGTCAGAACTCACAGATCTCGTTATTAACTTGCCTTCTTTTCAAATCCTGTTACTAACTACATTTTACCAAGTTATTCATACGGTCTTTGAACCCCCACACATTATTTAACGGAGTCTTCGTTTTGCAGTATGTTTATAAAGCGCATAATCTCGAGACAAAAAATCGTGTTTGCCCTTTCTAATTCATTCGCTTGAAATGAAATACGTGAATGGAAGTCTTTAAAAATTAAGTCACAAATATTTCCAAAGTTGTTTTACGTAACATAGTGATATTGTATTGTATTTTCGTGCATACATTTTTACGCAATAAACATACAAAAATTTAATGTGTTTACTGTTTATATCCCTATCTCCTCATAAAAAAAGGACAAAAACACAGAGTATCGATCTCTACCTATAAAATAATAAAACAAAAATTTGCTCAAATTTTATTTATTTCTTTCCATATACAGACCCATCTGATTTCAATTTTAAAAATATCCAATATTTTTTGTGTAAAACCTATTGTGGTATCACGAGACGAATAAAAAAGAATAAATGCTAGCGCGATTGATGAGACGTGAGCAATTAATTATAAACTACTATAAATATATGAATCAATAAGTTGACAAAAAGCGTGTTCTGAAGCACAAAATAAAACGTCACACATGTAAACACTATCTGTACATCTCGTCCATCGTCCGACACGGCCCACGAGCACTCGCGAGCGACTCACTCGGCCTCCCGATGTGATACAACCATCTCCGCAAATGGTAACTATTATGCTCTAAGTAGACCTGCTCAGCACATGGTCGACGACAGTGTACAACCGGGCGCGTGACATGCGGACGGCGCCTAGGGCAGCGTGTACTTCACGTACGGCACCTCCACGTCGTTGCCGTCCTCATCGTTGCAGCACAGCTCGAACACCAGCGCCTTCACGTGCGGCTCCAGCTTCTTCTTCGACACCTTCGTCACCACCTCCGACATCGGCAGGTTCAGCCGCTCCTGGCACTTGGCCGCCGGCATGAAGAACGAGTACAGCATGCACACGCCTTGCGACAACATCGTGATCTCTAGTTTATGCTCGTTCTTGAAGTAGTCTAGGAATTGCTGGAGGGTGATTTCACCCTTGACTTCGAAGCGATCCCACAGCGTCCACTTCTTGTCGTAATAAGTATTTGTTGGAGCAGCTATGGGTTCTGAGAAACCGAAGAAGGGGAGAGCGAGATTGACGAAACCATTCTTGAAGACCTCGAGATTGTTATATCCTTGTGCGAGCTTGTACAGCTCGAGGCAGACCAGGCCCGCCACCACGGAGGTGGTGGTGGCGATGGCGGGGATAATCTTGCCAGCAATGAGTTTGGAGCGATGCCTGTCTGCAGGAGGTATTTTGTAGTTTGCTGCGCGGAGGTTGGAGGCAGCGACAATGAAGTCCATGTGGAAGTTGGTGTCGTCGTCCTTCTCGAACTCGAGTGGAGTGATCTTGAGCGCGCCGAGCTTGGCCGGTGACGGCAGCTCTGCGATGATGTTCTTTACCCTGTCGTGGTCCATGTCGTCGTTGTTTTGCTGCAGCTGTGCGTCTGTCACGGCAATTTTCACACCAGACTTTGGGCTGAATTCTGGAACCTAATATTAAGGAGGGTTAGTATTAGGATGAGAGCAGAATTCTTTTATTTACAATAATATAATTAAAACTATGCAAAAAAAAAAACAATTACATAACCAACATGCTCACCTGAATACTAGCAGCCACTTTTCCAATTTTTGACCTATCTGTGCAAGGAGCCATGCCATAGACAGTAGCTCTCAGATTAGCCGCAGCAACTACATAGTCCAAATGGAGTTCATCAGAAGGATCAAAGGCAAGAGGTGAAGGGCAGCGCTTGGGGCCAGACCAGAATGGAGCTCCACTGGTGGTCTGCTGATCAGGAGGGAAGTTGTATAGCAGCTGTTTGATCTGGTTTGAATATTGAGCCTCCCAGTGCAGGCGAGCCCAGGTTACACAATCGTCGAAGCTCAGTGGTCGGTCTTGAATCGCGTTCTGGGAAAAAGAAATAAGATTCAAAATATAAGTTTCTCAATGTTGGAATTATTCAATGAACTATTTCTTATTTCGCAATAGTCTTACCCTAACACTCTCGATAGCATCAAGAGGTTGGCTGCCAGGCAGTTTCAAGGTCCTGTCCAAGAAGTGTTGATCTCGAAGGTACTGGGCGGCGTGCTCAGCGGCCTGACGGAACAGACCCTCGAATTCGTCACGCGCCCACTGCAGCGTGTGCTCGATAGCGTTCGGGAAGTTCTTCAGAGTGCAGATTGGAATACTCTTCTCAGGAGGGTCTTGGGAAGAGCTGTATGATTCAGTCAGGAATGGGACTACAACCTGAAAAGGATATTTGTTTGGTGTTTAAGAAGTCATATACAACATATTTTAAGAAAGGCATGTGATTTAACGCGACTTTCGCCGCATCGATGATGTGATCAAGTCTATTGTACTGACCTGTGTATTTCCCTTAGTACCGAGAGTACCACTTTCCAGCAGTGGTTTCCTATAGTATACACAACGCCTGTCCATATAGATACGAGCATCTACATTGTCCAGGGCATTGGCGACTCCGTCGAGGGCCTCGAAGAATGCGTCGTCATACACAGATTCAGTCTCCGGGCAGACTCGGTTCTCCTGGGCTACAACATTCACGTCGGGGTTCATGCGTTTTATCACCTGAAAGACAGAAGAAGACATTTCATTAGGATTTGAATCATAATTTTTCTTAGTAGAAGATGAAACTTTTGTTTTGTTAATGAGGTTTAAATGCAATTGTCTTACAATTAATTAATGAAAAATATTTAATGATATTACCTTAGCAGCAGTGCTAGACTTAGGCTTCTGCACGTCGTAAGGTCGGAAGAGGAACTGTCGGTTGAGGTTAGACTTCTCAATGAGATCCATGTCGGTGACGGTGATCTGACCGTCAGCAGCACCCACGCCGATCATCGCAAAATTCTTCAGCAATTCACAACCAATAGCACCAGCGCCTGATGATGAAAGAAACAGATATTTACAGCTATGCATAAAAAACAATAATGTCTAGAACACAGTTATTTGATTGAACATTATGTAATTACATAGTACTTTGTAACATATAAGTAAATAAGGTATTGTTCAAGGTGACCACTATAGTACTGTTCTTGTAGAAAAATTGCCGTATTTTAAACATGGAAACTATTGTCTCCAAAACAATCATTAGGAAAACCGAATATGTAGAAAGATAGGACATAAAGACAAATCTGTAGTCGCGGAGAACCTAACGGGTAACCGGGGCTCCAGCTCGACGTGCAGGAGAAGGAACGGGGTGGTTTTTAGTCAGTAAGAGTCTGACACTCCCTCCCGCCTCACCCAGGCGGGAGCAGTCATCCGATGATTTCCGCCCTTAAAAAAAAAGACAAATCTGTGTTTTTGTACTTATTTTCCCACACAATACATTTGACTTGCAGTACATTATCTTTGCTACTCATATTAACATCGATAAGGCGTTATCACGTATGCAAAATAGGATTCTCGTCAAATAGAAAATTATCGTCAGCACTGCGTAGTAGAAACATCGCATCATTTTTCGATATTTAAAACGATATTTATTTTTTGCTAGTTTCTTCTAGCAGTTATATCTGCGTTACCAAAACAACTAGTAGCTTGTGTTCCAGACTTTTTTATGGTGAAAATTCATTCAAACATAATTTATGTGAGAAACGCTATAAATAATGATTAATTCAGTTCCGTGCTCACAAACGTTCGCATTTCTAATCTAGAGTAGAATAGATTGCTACATAAATAGACTTTCGCAGTGCGTTTTGAATTCTAGATGACTACTCTATAAAATAATTAGTAGCTCGAGCCATTGAGCTTACTGGAATCGATCGTAAGGCCTTGAGTGCTGGAATTACCCGAAGCTCGTTAGTTCGTGCTTCATAGTTAGTTCAATCAATATAAAATCGTTTATTTGTCGCGACATTAATGACCAATCGTTCACGCGACACGTGTGTGTATGAAGTTGGAAAATATTTCTTAGAAACTGGCTCGGAAGTGTCATATTTCAGTCCAAATTATTTTTTTTTCAGTACTTCATATTAAATAAAAACATTCAATAGTCACGCGTAAAGATGGCAATTTAAATTGTTTCTTTTTTAATTTTGCCTAGGTGCGGCGGGAAGGGATTGTCACGACTCTTACTGACTAAAAACCACGCCGTTCCTACCCCTGCACTCACTTCGAGCCAGCCTGGAGCCCCGGTAACCCGTTAAATTCTTCGCGGTTTAATTGTTAGAAAAACGGTTTTGTTAGCCATAGCGCGAAAACTGCTAAACAGATTTTGAAGAACATTTAAGCCAATGATTGGCACTTTCATCAAAACTATAACGCGGACGAAGTTACGAGCGATTAGTTAATTAAAACTAATAATAAACTCTACGTTTTATCCTCCTAGCATAAAAACGTAGCATGTCTCATCAAGATATTGAGTTACGTAGTACCGCTTAACAACATCGACGTTAGAAAAAGTGTAGTAGTAATTATTGCTAATTCAGTGACTCTTTGTTTAATGGTTTTCCGGTACTTATTTAATACGTTCAATTCTACATAAATAATAATAACTGGTTACTAACATATTTGTTGCCAACTATAGTAACAGAACTTGAATATCGATCGTGATGCGACCTGAGCATACTGAGATAGGATGTGTTGTAGTTAAACTTCGTCTTATTTCGTCAGTTACGTTACAGCAGTGTGGCGAGTTTATTGCTAAAGCTCATTTTTATTGCTTGTATCATTCAGTGGAACCTTAATAATTACACCATGAGACACTTTATAATTTATATTTTCATCGAGGACAATCATATTTTGGAATTAAAGACGATTCGATTACGGAATTAAGAGATAATAGGGAAAAGGCAATTACCTAATTCTTTGAAACACAAAACAGATTGGATCTATGTAAGCAAGAAAATTATTTTTTTCGATTTAGTCATACAGACTCATTATTGATGAACTCGTTTTTAATCTTTGCGCGTTCGCTATTGATAAGGCACGATAGCTATACAAGCAATTAATGCAAATAAAATGTCTTGATACATTAAAGGTCAACAACCTCTCAAAATGATTTGTGTTTGTCCAAATAATTAGCGCGGTTGTTTTTAACGACGAAACGTTGGACAGTAGGACAGTAAACTGACTATAGTTACTCATAAAGACAGCCATTTTATTTTATGCCATGAGACAAAAGTTTTTAAGTATTGTACTGATGTTTAATTGTATTCATCATAACTATTATTTTGCTATTATAAACTGTTCTTC